TAGAAAATTATTTTTAGAATAGATACTTTATCTCATTCACTAATCTTGAAAATAGAAGTTGATGAGTGATTGTGTTACATCAATATCATATAACTATTTGTTCAAAGTACTTCTTGTTGGAGATCCTAATGTTGGAAAAAGTTCATTACTCTCACGATATATTGATAATGTATTCAATGAAGATACTACTACATCTATTGGTGTTGATTTTAAATTTAAATCTATCTTTATTGATAATGTAATTGTCAAATGTCAGATATACGATACGGTTTGTTAACTTTTTATGTTCTAAATCAATAACCATTTACAAAAAGGCAGGACAAGAAAAGTTTAGAGAAATAGGTAATTCATATTACAATGGAGCACATGCAGCTCTGTTAGTATTTGATGGTGGGGACATTTCTACATTCCAAGGGCTTGAGATATGGCTACAAGATATCAGAAAATATAACACCAATATCAAAATACTTCTTGTCTGTAATAAATGTGATCAACCAGTAAATATCCCTGAAGGTACTATTAGTTTATATGCTAAAGAAATCTCAGAAGAAGGAAAGTGGATAAAAACATCGGCAAAAAATGGAGAAGGTGTTACTGAAGCATTTGAAACGGTGATTAGATTGTTATTACCAAAGAAGAATGAAGGAAACTCAATTGCAAAACATAAAAAGAAGTGCATTCTCTTCTGAGACATAAAAAAGGATAATTAAGAAAAGAATAAATAAGAAACTTTTTAAAAATAATCAACACTTATATTTCATTAAAAATCAAAAACAGAACTTCTTGGTTGAATGTATTTTGCAAGGGTCCAACGTTTTCTAAGAGTCTCGTTGTTGTTTATTTCTTTTTTAGATGGTCTGTATGTTGTTTCTGACGCTTTTTTAGTATACAAGATAGTTCCTCTCATATTTCCATATTCATGGAGTTTCTACATTATTAAGATGTAATAATAGAAATAAAAAGAATAACAAACAGCAAGGGGTTCAAATGGAACATCAAGACATTCTGAGAAAGTAATTACAGGGTTATAAGTTTGTTTTGTATGTTTACATTCTGTATGAAGAGAGGCACACAAGTCACAAATAAATACACCATAATCCAAATCAACATAAGAAGATTGACGGTCAGAACAATCTGCACAAATTTGATTATGAGGCTGAAGAAGAAGCATTCTAAGATATTTATAGTTTTCATTATCTGAAGGAGGAATATCGTCAAAAGAAGTCCATGTTTTTAGAAGATCAATATTAAATTCATTAACACTAAATTCATGAAGATCAAGTACTATTCTACAATTTTTATAAAAAGCATTTCTTAATAAAAATAGCCAAACAAATTTACAATGATTATTTTCTGTAGCAAAAATGTAAGTATAATTTTTATAATTCATTTCAAACGAATATTTTTTTGTAGAGATTAATAATCCTTTAAATTTTAATTGAAGGATATCAAATACTAATATTGGTGGTTGAAGTGTTGCAGCAGATTCACCATTAACAAATAAACAAACAATATTTCCATGAAGCATCATATAAAATTCTTCCCAAGCATTAGTTGTTTGGTTAAAATATTGAATAGTATCTTCATATTCTGGATGAATAAGAAATTCTGTTTTATTAAAAGCTTCAATATCAATACTTTTTAATTGATACTGTAAATTTTCAATTCGACTAATTAATTTTTGTTGTTGTAAAGAGAAAATACCATCAATTTCATGCATCCAAGTAATTTTATCTTCTTCTGATTCTGCTTTAAGAATAAAACATTTTTCAGGAATATTAATACAAAATGTAGTAACATCATTTGGTACATCCATTAAAGTAACTTGTCTTAAATCAATAACGTGATAAACCTTAGTTTTATTTTTTAAGTTTTCACTAGGAATATCACCAACATCTTCTCTTTTAACTTTAGTCATTAAGAAATAATCACTTAATAAAAAACAACAAAACTCTTCTAATTTTTTTGTTTTTCTAATTAAGAATCCTTGATGAACAATTTTTCTTTGAATATCTTTACTTGGTTTAAATTTTTTTGGGAATGATAATTTAGAAAATAAATCATTAACTGCTTTTTGGTCTGTATTTTTTTTCATACAACTATTTAAATGAAAAACTGCTTCTCTTATTTTTGAAATACAATTTTTTAATTCTAAGTCTTCTTTATTCCACCAACTAGGTAAACTATCTCTAACAGCACCAAGTAATAGTTTATAACGAGGTGGTCTTTGAATAGGACGAATTAAATAATTATCAGGTGGTGTATTTTGAAGAAATTCTTTAGATAATTTTTTAACGAGAGACTTAATAGTATTATTATCACTTTCATAAAAAGTTTTTAAAGGGAAATAAATATTCATATAAGTAGTATAATACGATAAATATCTTATAAATACATTAAAAGCAGAATAAATTTCTTTTCCATAACTATCATTTTTAATAATTTTTTCAAGATCTTTAAATAATAATTGATTACAATTAATCATTGTTTCATTTACTAACTTTGCTTGATTAACAATATCAATTTTTGGTAATAGTTCTTGTGTTTTATCTATCATTTGTTTAATGACATTTAAATCATTTAAATATTTTTTTTCACTCTCTAAAATTTCTCTAACTGCAAATTTTAAATTTTTCATTCTTTGATAAATTTTACTATTACGAAATTGATATCCTCTTATAATTGATTGTATTTTTATTATATTTTCTTCCTTTTCTTTAATTAATTTTTGAACATTTTGAAGATGTTGTTTTTGTTCAATTAATTTTTGTTCATATTCATTGACCAATAATTTACTTCTAAATGTTGATTGAATGAAACAAGTAAGAGTTAACTCACTTAAGTCTAATGGTTGTAATACATTTTCTCCATCAATAACATCTGTTACAATATAATAAATTCCATTCATTAAAAATATATTTTTTGATATTTCTTTAATTTCTTCTTCAACTTTATTTGTCTCTTCTTCAGATATTCTTTTAACAATACACTTTAATAAGTCTTGATCTTCTTTTTCATCAAATTCAATAAATGTTTCTTCTTCATTATCTGATCTTGGAGATGAAATATTTGATGAATAATTAGAATCCATAATCTCTTCTGTATTATTTTTAGGTATATTTTCAATACTAGGAATAGTAATTGAATCACATCTATCAATTTCTTTTTCATCTCCGGAATTATCTAATTCTATAAATTGTTCTTCTTCACTTATTTCAGGTGTTTTATTTTCGTTGATACTTTCATTAATGTTATCATCTTTACTTCCTATTTCAACTTCTTTACTGTTACCTTTGTCAATTTCTTCTTTTTCATTAAAATCAGATTGAATTTCTTTTTCATTAAAATCAGAACAAATTTCTTTTTTATTAATTACTTTTAACTCTTCTTCTTTTTTAAATGAAGAGGGTTCTTTTTGTTTTAACTCTTCTTTTTTTAATATATTTTTTTCAGATTTAATATGACATACTGCTACAGAAGATGCTCTTTTTCTTTCAATATTTCCATTTCTAATAGCAATGACTCTACTTTTCTTTTTTGTTGGTGTACTAAATCCAGTTTTTGGTCTTGGAGGAAAAGACATTGCCAATTGTTCAATAACACAACCAGAAGAACTTTGAAGTGGTTGACAAGGATGAGACGATTCAAGAGTAATTCTTTTATCATTCTTTTTTGAATGAGCAATTGGATTTAACAATGACATAGTACGTTCTCTAAATTGATTTTGTTGTTGTTTAATAAGAGTAATTCCAGTCATTTGAATAATTCCATCTTTACGAGTAGTAAATGCTCTTTTTCTACTAACTGAACCATCTTTAACTGACGATTCAAAAACTGAAAAATTGTTAGTAATTTTCATTAATTTTGTTTTTTCTTCAAAAATTTTTAAATCTTTTCTAATTTTTATATACTGTTGTTTTCTTCTTTCTTTTTCAAATTTTCTTTGGAGTTTAATAAAATTTAAAAATGACAATGTTTGATCTTTATTTCCATTAGCAATACAACTAACTGAAACACCTTCAATCTCTCCGTACTTATCACTGATCATTTTCATTGCAGATTCAATGTTTTGAATTCTTCCTTTAATATTTGTTGTATGTTTATACATTGGCTTTTTTGTATGTGTAATTTTACTGCATAATTTTATTAAAAGTATTCCATCTCTGAAATCTTTCTCGCTGTTTAAAATTAACTCCTCTGGTAAATGTCGACGAACCCAGTCAATTAATTGTTGTTCTTGTATGTCACTAAACGACATGGGATTTTATATTTTTAAGAAATTTCTTTTTTTTTCTTTTTTTTTAATAATAAAACTAAAAATCACTATTTTGATTTTTGTTTTTAATGAAACTAAAATTTTATTTTTGTTACAAATCATTTTATTTATTTAATTTTGTAAGGCTTCAATCATATCTTCACACAAATAAAGAATCCACATAATTGCTTTATAACAATTTTCGTAATATAACATTTCTTTAAATGATAAGAAAGTTTGTTGAATATCTTTAAAAAGAGACAAATATGTTTTTGGAACTTTTTTAATATTAAGATTCTTTAATGTTAAAAGAATGAAAGAGAGTTTAATTTCTATTAATTCAGTAGATAAATTAGATACAAGAAATGTTAATAAGGATAATAAGACTTCTGTCTTAAATGTTGTTTGACAAAATATGTCTACAGGAATTGATTGAAGATAAGCAAGAAGTAATGGATGATTATTAATTAATAAAATTTCTTCTAAATCTAAAGCAATAGAACGATGTTTTGATTCTTTTATTTGAGTAGAAGAGTTTTGAATATTTAATTGTTCTACAAGTGAATTTAAATTCATTTGATTTTGTTTTAATTCATTAAGCATTTTTTGTTTTTCAATAATAATTTGTTTAATTGAAGGTAATAATTGTTCTGTAGTTTGTATTTTAGTAAGAATACGAGCACTATCTATTTTTTGCATTTCATTGACAATGTTTTGAATTTTATCCATTTCAATTTGAGATTGTTCAATATCTCTTTGATATTTAT